GTTTGCAGGAAAAAACCCAACCAATCGGGCAAAAAGGAAAAAAGGAGACCAGAAACAAGTCCCACTGCGGTTATCGCCATGACAGCTGTCAATCAGGCAGAAAAAGTCCGGCGAACGAGAAAGTTTTTTACGCAGGGAAACCCCATCTCATCCTGGCGACGACTTTAATTGTGCCGGGCTTTCAATTAGCAGAACAAGTGATTTTATAGCGCCCTCAACTTAAATTACTCCTCTCGAATTCGGTCAGGTAAAAGTCTTACTTGTCTCCGGGTGTTGGCCCAGAAATTACCAGCCTTAAACGGCCAAAAGGACAATTACTTTATTTGCGCACTCAATTTATGCTGATTTATGGAATGGACAATGCTCGGTACCGATGCGCCCCATTCCAACCCATTGGATGAAATCCCAAATGTTAATTGCACTAAAATGCAGATTTCTCATGCACTTGGAAAATAAATGTTGAATAAAATTCTGAGAATAAATTCAAACCGTCTAGGAATATAAGGCATTTTAATTTTAAAAATAACATCTATAATAAATATACAGATAATAAAATACTCTTTAAATAAGTAATAAAAAGCAGCCAAATTCAGAGATTTCTTTAATGGAAAGTATCTAGCACATACGGAAGTTATTATATATTAATATTTAAAATATTTATATTTAGCTCTTCACAAATTTTAAATTAAATATATATTTCTCTTAAAATATTTTCTTTCGCTTTGGGAAGATGTTAATTTGTAGTTTAAGAAATAGTTTTCTTAAAAGCAGAGTAGTTGAAAAATTGTATTAGTTGCTGGAACACAATTTTTCATCTTCGACAATGGGTGAGTTTTTTGTGGAGCACCTCAATACAATTTATTAACATCTTAAGAAAGGTGTTTTCTGAATTCCATAGTGATTTTTATTTCGAGTGCCCATGCATATTTATTTACATATATCTGCACATGCATCTGAGGTCCAGTTCGGCAGACCTTGGCTGCATTTTGACTGCCAGCCGGCAAAAGATAAACAGCGACAGTTTTTCGCCCCGATAAAGGGAACCTCGTGGAGAATGGGTGCGAATGGGGCGATGGGAGGCTGTGGGCTCTGGGCTTTGGGCTGGGGACCTTGTTGCCTTGTCTGCCAAACTCATTAAAACGAATCTTTTTTAATGGCCAAAAGTTTGCCTGGTTGCTGCCATAATCAGTAAAATTAAGGCCATGGCAGCTGAAAACTGTTTGCTGCCTGCCAATGTCGTTAGCGAATGGTCCACAAAAAATTCTGGCAGACATAAAGAGCGATGTTGGAAAGTTTTAAAACTATGCCACTGATTTTATTCGTATCTATTGATTGCTTAAAAAACAGAATATAAAGAACTAAATGGGTTTGGGGTGGCTTTCATTGTGGTCATTGTTACTTGATGTTGCTTGTGAGGTATATATTCTTTTGGAATTTTCTACCCATTTTCTTATCAGTAGTGGATTAAACTAAAAGTAGGTCTAAGCATTAATTTTAAGCTATTTAATATCTCAGTTTATTTTTAAGAAACATCACTTCAACCTTTAAGGATTATCTACATGAATAAACAATGGGTTTTTAATACTGAGGGCCAATTTCTTCCCCAACTTTCGGGTCTTTGCCCTTTATTCCTTTATCCCTTTATTCTTGGGGCACCAGGACCACGAAAGTCTCATTGGAATTCAATATTCGCCGCAGTGGCTTAAAGGCGACAAACTTGTGTGTCAAACGCGCAGAGGCAACGCGGCCATCGACTAACAACTTATTTAAGCCAACTGCAAAGAAACAGGAACACACACTCCTCATCGCAGAAGGAGGCGATAGATGACGCAGGCACTGCCACTGCCATGTCACACTCTAAAAGGCCGAAAAGGAGCTCACCGGTCCCACACAAACGTGCTCGGCGGCTGGGAGTGTTTTGGGTCCTCAGATCCCCCGAAAACCCCCTTGGAGCCCGGAAGACCCCTGGAATATCCCTGCACGTGGCCATCGGGCTGCACTCTTGTGCACTAATTACGAAAAACTCAGCACGTTTTGCCATCGCATGGCCCAGCTTTTGGCCCGGCTGTCTGGCAGTTTGGCTGCTGCCTGTTGGCCGCTGGATGTTGGCTGTTGGCCGTTGGTGTTTTGGCCTGCTCTGGCCTGGCGCCTTGTTGCCCTGCTGCCTGAGTGGTTAAATGCTGTGCGGAGCAGTGCTGCAGTAATAGCAGCAACAAGGCAACATGCACGCGACAGTTGCCTACACCCTGGGGAACTCTCGAAACACGGCGAAAAAATCACTGAAAGTTCCCTGGGACATGTAATGCTTTGATGTTGACTTCGAGTTTAGGATCATGACTTTGAAAGCTCTTGCTCGGCTAAGAACTAAAACAATTGTCAAGTTTGATGGAAACGAATAACAAATTAATGATGAAATAAAAACTACTCTTTATATTTCAGTCGAATCTTCTTATAATATAAAATCTGTATCTTTTTAATCAGAATTTGTAATATTTTTAAACTTGATAAATTTCACAAATTTAAAGGAACCCATTTCGATGCTAAAGACTCTATTTATGCTAAAATTGTAATTAAGTTTCTGTGGTATTTTTTCTCATTGTGTAATTCCAGTGGCAACAGAGGCGGCGGCGGCGTTGCTCCTGCTAAGTAAAAACATTGCGGCAAGCAATAAAATCAACATTGGTTTCGGTTTTGGCTTTGACTCTGCCCAGCGGAGTCCTCCACTTACCGCCTTTTCCCCGGCGGCCCGTTGTGTAACTGTATTACTGATGAGCTTCAAAATGTGCTTGGCGTGCACAATTTTACCAAAGTCAATGTCTGAGGTTGCCGTTTCCACCGGACTTCCACCAACTGGGCATAAGCAGTGGTCTAAGAGCTAAAAAACCAGAACTCATCCTTCCGTGACTGCAATAATTAGAAATGCGGCGCAGTTTAGCAGGGCCATTAAAAACTGTCTGCATTTATTATTGCCAAGATAGGCCTTATGTAATAACTTTTCTGAACCCTATTTTAAGCAGCAAATTTGAAAAAGCTTCTCAGCCTGTAAGCCCACACTTTAGTACATGTTGTACACATTATACCCCCAAATTGGAGAAATCTTGACACCCTTATATAGTGATTCCTTTAAAGCTCCAACCGTAACGAGGCTTTGGTCAACTACATATTTGCAATCTTTACGTCGGCAACATGGCTATAAAAATAAATTACACACAGCTTAAAACTTATGTGAGGTAGGAAGAAAAATGGCTTATAGACGCGCAATGCAACCAAAAAAGCAGCTCACCGAATTGAGAGGTATAACAAAATGACCAATCGACCTCGGGCCCCAAAGGAGGGAATTTCCCGGGAAGGGTTCGAGTGATGAACGTTATTGCTCTTTTGCTGTGCTGCTCAATCGAAGTGATTCGCCCACACACACACAACCAGCACATCAATACACCCCAGGGGGGGGGGGTGGTGGTGGCTAACGGTAAAGGTAAAGCTTGAAGCCGACAATGAAGACATTAACATGACCAACGACAACAGCCAACGACAAAACTCTCCGTGCCCATAGCTCATCACATTAATCTTCTTAATACGCCATCAATAATTCAAAGCCAAAGGCATGACCAACTGGTCAAAAGCAACCACCTTAAGCCCGAAAACCCCAACTTGGCCAAGTGAAGAAGTCGCCTTCGACACGCAACCATATATAGTACATATATCGAACAGACCCGAGTGCTGAGTGAATTATGACGCACTATACGGGCTCCACGTTCGATTCTTTTCCTTTTGCCCGAACTGGAGTGGCGCCTTCGAAAACAGTTTGTCGTCCATCAAATGCAAACTATAACGTATAGTACAAATACTGAACTCTTACCTCGCCTGACACTGAAACTTTATGGCTCGTTAGCATTTGATTATTCAGGAATTGGGAAATACCCAGATTGCGTATTTCTATATTTCAGTGTTTCAAGAGCTGATAATCTCAGCTTGGCGTTGAACAACTGTTGTGGATAGAGTAAACAAAACCACTGATTTAATATTCAGGTATCAGCTGGTACAGGCTTGAATGGTTTGACATACATGTTTACGCACAAATAGACATTTTGGAAAGCCCCATAGTTTATATATAAATGTTTGCCACTATCATTTAGGAACTGATAATCAGTTTTATTTCCTTTAAAACAATATAATACACTTATTACCATAATTGATGAGCGCAACTATATTTTGGAAGGCATATCCTATCATATCTAATACATTCTTATTATAAAAGAGTTACAAATTATAATATCAATTCTTATTGTAAGAAAATGATAGTATCTGAGAGAAAAGTAGTTTATCCATATAAAGCTTGTCAAAAGTTCGGGTCTTTAAAAAGTTTCCAATGCTTGCTGTCACGAAGCACTCGAATTTCTGTAAAGCTTTTTTTCACTGCACTTTTTGCACCCACATTTCGCATCTTGCGACAACTATCGAAAATTGCGACCGTAATTGTATATGAATGACATATGCTGAACGCACAAAAGCGCTGGAGAGCTGCCGTCCTGGCCATTGTGCTCCTGCAACTGACAGGCGCCCGATCGATCCCGAACCCCATCACCATCCATTCCCAATCCTCGGGTCCATTGTTGGACCTGGACAATGCTGCCTCACCTGTTCCCTCGACAATTTGATGTCAGTTGCTTCATGCGGAATTTTTGTTGCCATTCGACAGTGCCATCTCGCCATCGCAGCTTTTTCACGCCTACTTCTGGGCCCAGTCGACCCCACGCAAATGTCCTTTGTTTCGCTGCGATGAGATGGTATGGTAAGGTATGGATGGGATGGGATGGATGGATGGGGGCTCTCCCGTGAATTGTTGCCCGCTTCCTTTGGCTGATGAAGATAGGCATCCAGCGGGCCACATGTGTCAAGCCTTCGCTGCTCCTTATCGGCGCCGGCTTAAACGCCACTAATTGTGTCAAAGGTTCGTCATGTGCGCGATAAAGTCGACAGAAGCACCCGATTGACAGAGACCCAAATTTATTTTCCGGGCTATAAAAGCAGCTGCCGGCTGCCGAAATGTTCAGTTTGATCATCTAAAAAGTAAAGACAAGAAAGTAAGTTTTAAAGTGGCCAGCTAAAGTGATAATGTTTTCAAATTAAATTTGTTGAATTTTTAAAATTTTTCGTATTGAAAAACTGTTTTTTGAGAGAACTTTGATGACTTGCATTCACTTTTAATATTTGTATAATTTAAAAATTGGTGACTACTGTGATTAAATTAGAAGATAGACATTTTTGACGCAATTAAGTTTGATTTCCAAAATGTTCAATCAGTTACAATACATTTCATACACATTACCAACTTAAATTGTTGTATACTTTAAAAAATATTAAAGTAGGTCGAGAAGAAAATCTCTTTTTTATCCTTACATATGTAAACACAAATTCGATTCAATAAATGTAAATCAAAACAAAGCTAATCACAGTTCCATTATCTGTTCCCATGAAATAACATTACTCACTATAAATTAAATGGAAAAATGTCAACCGACGGGAAAATACTAAGTTAAATAACTTTTGAGCAAAGTATATTACAAGATTTGTATATAACTTTCAGCCTCAAGCAACATGAACTTCTCGTGGCTTACCATCTTCATCCTGGCCCTCTTCGCCATGACTGTTTCGGCCAGAACTGCCCAGCTCCCTTTGAGAAGAGTGGTAACAAGTGCACCGCCAAGCGCACCATTCGTGGAGATTGCCCCCCTGGATCCCAATACAGTGCCAATGTCAACCTGTGTGTCTACAAACACTAAATGAATAAATAATATAAAGTAAAACCTAATCAGCCGTTGAATACATTTAAAACAATTTGAAAACAAATCTGTTTTGCTTAGCTGCTTATCAGCGAGGTGTTATCATTGTGGGCTGCCTTTCGCCAGTTCAGATCAGTAGAACTGGACTAAGGTCAATCGATGGAATCATCAACTTACCATATATGTTGCTATATAAGATGCATTTCAGTTGGATGCGTTAAAATAGTTGCATTTTGCATTTTACAGAGGTGAGTTAAGGCTGCCCAGTTTTCCATTTCGAAACTAAGTGGTTTTATTTTGAGTGCAGAAAGCGAAAAGGATACCATACAATCTTCAAATATGCTGCTCAAGTGCACTTGGCTTTGCTTTTGGTCCTGTCTTTGATGGCAGGAACCTTTGCCAGCAGCGGATGTCCTGTGGGTTATAAATCCGAGAGCAACAAATGCACTATTGAGCGTCCCGTCCACGGATCCTGTCCCACCGGATCCACCTACAGCCTCAACATCAACAAGTGTGTTCACTCCTAAGGATCTCAACTAAGGATCTAATTTCCATGTTAAAATGAAGGTGCAGGAAATTTAAATTTATCTATCTGCAGCTTAGAAAATTCTATTTCTTATAAAATATTGGCAAAATGCTAAGATTAAATATCAATGATCTTAAAAATTGTTTTGAAATAATTTTACTTCCGTAAATAAGGTTCCCATAAATACAAAAAAATCAAATCACTGCCGAATCATCCGCCAATTAACATCTCAGGTTTCAACTTTCGCCTTTAAGCGAGTGCCATTTGCGAATCAGTCCCGCTTTGGGCCAATTATAGTTGGCCTTATGTGCTGGCCATGGGAAATCAACAAGTGTTGGGGCTAAACGGGCCCGAATGAGGACCAGAACTGATGAGGCTGGTGGTGATGAGGATGGTTTGTATATTACCTTGCAGCCTCCAAGCAACATGAACTTCTCGTGGCTCACCATCTTCGTCCTGGCCCTCTTTGCCATGACTGTTTTGGCCCAGAACTGCCCAGCTCCCTTGAGAAGAGTGGTAACAAGTGCACCGCCAAGCGCACCATTCGAGGAGAGTGCCCCTGGATCCCAATACAGTGCAATGTCAACCTGTGTGTCTACAAGCACTAAATGAATAAATAAATACTAAATAAAAACTAATCAGCCGTTGAACACATTTAAAACGATTTGAAATCAAAACTGTTTTGCTTTGCTGCTTATCAGCGAGGTGTTATCATGTGGGCTGCCTTTCGCCAGTTCAGATCAGTGAACTAGACTAAGGTCGAATGGATGGAATCATCAACTTAACATATATGTTCCTATATAAGTTGCATTTCAGTTGCATCCGTTGAAATAGTTGCATTTTGTATTTTACAGAGGTGAGTTGAGGCTGCCCAGTTTTCCATTTCAAACTAAGTGGTTTTATTTTGTGTGCAGAAAGCGAAAAGGATACTATACAATCTTCAAATATGCTTCTGAAATGCACTTGGCTTTTGCTTTTGGTCCTGTCTTTGATGGCAGAAGCCTGCCATCTCCACCACCGACCGAAAGCAACAAATGCACTATTGAGCGACCCATCCACGGATCCTGTCCACCGGATCCTCCTACAACCTCAACATCAACAAGTGTGATCGCTCCTAAGGATCTCAACTAAGGATCTAATTTCCATGTTAAAATGAAGATGCAGGAAATTTAAATTGATTATCTGCAGTCTAGAAAATTCTTTTTCTTAGAAAGTGTTTATAAAAATGGAAAAAGTAAATAAAATAAAATAGTGCAAAAATACTAAAATTAAATATCAATGATCTGAAAAATAATTAAATATAGTTATTTTGTTATTTTCGGAAAAGAGGTTCACATAAAACAAATTAAATCACTGCCGAATCATCCGCCAATTAACATCTCAGGTTTCAACTTTCGCCTTTAGGCGAGTGCCATTTGCGAATCAGCCCCGCTTTGGGCCAATTATAGTTGGCCTTATGTGCTGGCCATGGGAAGATCAACAAGTGTTGGGGCTAAACGGGCCCGAGTGAGGACCAGAACTGATGAGGCTGGTGGTGATGAGGATGGTTGGTGGTGGCGATGGTGATGACGATGATGGTGAGTGACGTCGTCGCCAGGCGGGCACGTTGCCCATTAGTTTATTACATGTAATTGACTCAACGCTTGTCAGCCGTCAGCGGCGATGGCTCCTGCGGCTTTAATGTGCTGCATTTAATGCCCAGGCCAACACCAGCGACAGCCCATCAAAGTCAAAGCGGTCTGTCTGTCAGTCGGATCGTCGCACTATATGTACTGTGTATATGTGTCTGTCTGTCTATCTCAGCCCGCCTGCGATTAGCTTGATTGGCCCGCTGCCTGTCCTCACCTTTGGCCCCCCCCTTATCGCCGACCCACACCTCATCTACAGCGTTTCGTAAGACTCGCCTTCGGATTGAATCGTCTCACAATCGCCCAACACCGCCTGCTATAAAATTCATTAAAAACTTTGAACCCCCTCTTAACTCTGGCCAAAAAACGATGGCGAAGACATAAAAACGTAGAAAACATTTAACAGTGGCAAAAACTTTGGCAAGTCCAAGCTGTCGACAGGATGTGCAGCAAACCCAATTGCATATGCCAATGTAACAAAGTTTTCAACAGCAAAATGTCCCACGCCCGAACAGTGATGGCGTGCCAAGGCCTGAAGGTTTTTTCTATGCAGGAAAAACGCCGGAAATTATGGAAACATGACAAAAGAGTCTAGTTCAATCAGATATTATCAAAATAAAATAGCCAACATGTACTATCAATTTTATGTATTACCAAGTATTTTTCATATCATATCATCACATACAAAGCATTATTGTCTAACTGTATAGAATATATTAACAAAAATTTTACTTTTCTTGCACTTTGAAATAATATTTAATTTAAAAAAGTATATAAAAAATAATATTTAAATTTTAGACAAATTGGAGCAAAAAATATAACCAATCTTTAAAGATTATGATCGTAGGGAAATGTTATGAGAAGAACTTTTAAAAAGTGTTACATTTATATAAAATTTAAAATATATTCTTTAAGGAAAAATAGCTAAAAAGGGAAGTTTAAAAGCTAAATCAATCCTTAAAAGCCATGGCAAACTGTCAGCACTGAAGCCGCTGCGCGTCCATAAACTAAACGTCCTTGTCACTGGGGCTTGTAAATTTCTATGACTTGCATAAAAAAGGGCTCTCCCAGAATGCCTTCCGCTGCTCTGGGTTTCCTTTTGGTCTAAAAGTTTCCTGTAGCAAAAGTCGGCCAGCCAGACAGCGGACGCGGCAGGAAATAAGGAAATGTCCTCAGTCGTATTTGCAGCCTTGGCAGCGACATTTATCAGTCAGTTGTTGCAGTGTCCTGGGCCGATGGCCCGGAGTTTGGGTTTGAGGTGCAGGTTGGGTTTTGTAGCTGGGCTTCGGTTTTCTTGTTGGACAATTTTCAAAAGAAGTCTCAAGTGCCTGCCGCCCGGAGCACTTGCAGCAGACAGCAATCGCTGCTTTTACATTCGCCATATAGCATACAGTATCTGGTAACTGGTAACTGGTATCTCTGGTCTTCTGGTCTTCTGCTCTTCTGGGCTGCCCGGAAAAAGTTGCCTCGGCAAACTCTCGCGCAAATATGATGAACGTAAGCAGTAAAGTTCTGGCCAACTGATAGCCGAACGCCGCTACTTGGCCATCTTATAAACACAAGCTGGCCCTAAAAAACTTTCGCAGCCCAGCAAGGGGGACTTTCCTCTGGTGACGGCTCAACTTTATGGGCGGCCACATAGTTGCGCTTTGGCTGCATTTCAAGAATACTGCAGCACGAATGCACTGAGAAAAATTTAAAAATAACCGGGGTAATATCTAAAAATTCAAACCAAATCGAGCATGAAAAATTATAAAATTATTATTACAATCCCAAAAAAAATAGGTCAATTTTCATTTATTAAACTCTTTAAAACCAACCAAGCTAGACAGAGGTAAATGTTTTTTTAATTGAAAAAAATATTTTATTAAATATATCTCTCATATCAACTCAATTAAGGCTATATTAAACTAGTATAAATGTAGAAATCTATTGATAAAATAATATATTATAATAAAATTGCTTTCATCTACAGATGTAACTGTCCATAAATGGATTTGGAATCCGAAAGAGTGTACTTTCTCTCAGTGCACTCTTCTTCCACACTTTTCTTATCTCACTGGGGCATTGTCCACCCTCCTGCCAGCCGTCCATTGGTAAAAACGAAAGTGTGGCCATAATTTTTGAGCTCGTCCTGCCCGACGGGTGTGTTGCTGTTGTGGTCGTCGGTGGTGTTCCCCGGTTTCTGGCTAAAACTTTCCCGTTATTGATGCTGCTTGGCCAAAAAGAAGTGCTGACGAGGCTCACCAAAGGCGCACCGAGAACGGGGGCTACTTTCGAAATAGTTTAAATGCACTTTTACAGGCTTTTTACGACGTCAACCCGTCGTAATTGTTCGGCATATGAAGTGATAATGGATGCGACGCAGACTACTGTAATTACTGCCACACTATGCTAATTAGTTGCCAACATGCACAGCATTTGAAGCTTGTCAGTTTTCAAATTTAATAATCCGTTAAATTGCCTAAATCATGCTATTCGATTCCATTGCCTTGTTTACTAGTACTTTTAATCAGTTATTAAATATGTTTGCTTATCAAAATGTTTGCTAAATCGCTGTTTACACGGCTTAATTCGTTTGCAAAACAATGTGTGTGATGAACAAAAAATGTGCTGTGAATTGGAAAATTAGCTTTAATCCATATTTTTGTTATTGATAAAATGTTTTTGACAAGAAGATATTACAATATGTGAGGTGATAAGTCAAACAAATAGTGTGAATATCTGTCTAATTAAATTTATTGATAACCATAGCTTATCAGAACAATAAATCAATGTATTGACGGAATTATTTTTACTCAATTTTTTTTTGATCCCTTATTTTGTTACACAGTGCACTTCCCAGTTATAACCAAGTATTTCTGTACCCTTTGGCCCTGTTTGTCTGCTAGTCTTGTGCGTGCTGGCAACTTTTATCCAAAAACTAAAAACAAGATGGCGGTTTCCGGTCTGTCCTTGCGACCCTGTGTGTGTGTGTGTGCCCATAGGCATAAAAACTTTAATTTGAGTTATTTGCATGAGTAGTACTCATAGTTAAATTATAATATAATTCCAGCAGCAGGGCAAAAACAAAAACTTTATCAGTGACAAGGGGACCCAGAGTTCCAGGGAGGTCGGGAGTTATCTTCGCTCTCGCTCTATCTCTCCTTCTATCTCTTTCGCTGCTGTTTTTGTCCCACTCCCCCTGCTCTATTTATCTGCCAGAAATGCTTTTAATGTGAAACTTCAAAACCGTAAAACGAAAACTAAATCGGGAGTTGGAACATATGCTCCATGAATGCAAAAGCGATGTCTATGCATGTGGTTAAATATATGTGTGTGTACGTACGAGTGTGCGGTTTTGTGGGCCAAAAGTTTTGTTAGCCAACAAGAACAACAAGACCAATAAGCGCAGCGGTAAAATTTCGCCAACTACGCGACGCAAATATTCGCCAGATGAATATTGAAACGCTGCACCTGAACGGAGTTAGCGGAAATATCGAGTTGGCTGTCAACAACTTGGCCAATGAAAGCAGCTTAATCGGCGGTGCACAGTGTTCGGCTTAAATGTTGAGGTTTTCTGGGTAGCATCTGTCGAGTGCAGAATAAAGCCTTTTAAAACTTAAGATAAGAATATAAAATCATATGCGTTCCATAAAATAGACTTTCATCTTGCATTTACACAGGCTGGATATAAGTACCAACAAAATTGTAAACTTAATTTTATATGTCAAATCAAAAAGTTAGAATGCAGCCCTATTTTAAAAAAGGTGACTTCTAAAAATTTTCTAAAAGTATGCAGCACATTTAATCTGTAAATCCGACACATTGTGACAGCATACTTTTAAACATCCGTATTAGAGTTTTTTAAAACATTGAGATTTTTGTGGGTGTATTCTTCAGGAGATTTTCAAGCAAGATAATAAAAAGAATTCTTTAATTTCCCGGTTAAATTCACTTCATTCCCCCCTTGAAATTTCTTTGTTTCAGTTACAAGTTATTATCTTACTTAGTTTTGAGCCAATATTTTTATCACCTTAACCCTCCGAAGCCGCAAGCAAAACCCTCCATTTCTTATACAATGTCCAGCAATTACATAATACTGTAATTGTCCAACTGAGCTGCGACACTTGGTCGCGTTAAAATGTATATATCATCCCAGTGCCCTCCGACCCCTTCTCAAGGTTATCAGCGAGACAATGTCGCCTCTGCCCTTGGTCAACTTGGACTCTAATCCGCCAAATCACCAGCAGCTGGCTTTTAATTGCTTTTCTGTTATTTTATTATTGCTGCAGTTTGCTGCACTTCAAATATCTTCATCGCTGGCTTTTTGGCTTTGTACCTTTTTTTAGCCATTTCCCCCATTTTTTTCGCACACTTTTATAGAAACTTATTTTAGCTTAAGTTTTTATCTTTATTCCCTGCTCGGCGGATTAAAAAACAAATACGAAAAATAAAAAACTAAAAGAACGAGCGCCAAGGCGAAAAGCAAAACTTTTTATTTGCTGTGACAAATTTTGAGCAGATAAAGCTCCGGGAAACTTTGGAGCAGGGGGTTGTGGCGAAAAGAAAATTCACCATGCAGGTCCCAGCCGACTCGTTCCACCCACCTTTCATTTCACCTTCGAGGAAATGTTCGGAGCAGTGTTAACGCTAAATTAAGAAA